ACAGTCCAGTTCCTCCCCGGATGAGTCCTGGGTCCCCAGAGACTTCCCAGAACCGGAATTCAGAGCCGTTGGGAGCTTGCGACTCCCTCCGGATTCAAAAAGACAGCCGCATCCTCAGGTGCCAGCCCCTTTCCGCGAGCGCGAGCCCCCTACCTCTGCGTTTCTCTTCTGCAGCTTCTCTTGCTCTCAGTGTGCTTTTCTTTCCTTCTAGTTGTAGAATTTACAGTCAGCCAGGCTTCCTGTGGTTCTGGATGATGTCCGTATTGTTTTTCTGAGGTATATTAATCAATTGTTGTGAGCGGCATCAACTTCCTGGTGTTTATCTCTGCCGCCATCTTAGTTTCTCCTTCCAGTATCCTCTTTATATGTGCCACCTATTTACTATAAGATAAGGTAGCATTGAAAATAGTTATTAAGTTGTGTTGACAATTTTCCAGGTGTTTGCATTGGTAGTACTTTTCCATCTTTTAGTCTACCATATTTTTCTCATTCTGGAATTTTATTTGTATAAAACCTTGTGCTTTTTATTTCTGCATTACACGTTATTTGTAACTTTTAACCAAATTTTATTAAAGAATTATATCCATGTGAATGAAATTGTTAGATAGACTTGAAATAGAGAAATTAATTTGTAAGACTACCCCATCAGTATAGTAAAAGAAATTGTAAAATGTTAATAAAACTGAAAGAGAAATTATTAAGACAAAGTATGATTAGAATTTTACCCCAAAAGTTGAGGGAATATTCATCTTTTATTTTAATTAATCAACCACTTTTTTCCTTTTCCTTAAGAAGAATGCAAGCCTTTTGATTGAGTCATTCAAGGCTTTCTTCACTTGCTTGTTCCTTAGGGTATAAATAAATGGGTTTAACATTGGTGAAATGGAAGAAATGAGCAGGGAAACTCCTTTGTTAAGAGCCACCTCTTCCTTTGCTGAAGGTTTGATATAAATGAAGATGCAGCTGCCATAGGTGATAGAAACCACGATCATGTGGGAAGAACAGGTAGAAAAGGCCTTTGTCTTCTGTTGAGCAGAGGACAGTCTTAGAATTGTCATGATGATATAAATGTAGGACAGAACAACACATACCAGGGTCATGATAAAAGTCAACACAGCGCAGACTAAAATCATTCGCTCTATGAACCAGGTGTCTGAGCATGATATCTTTAGCAGAGGAGTGGCATCACAGAAAAAGTGATCAATGACGTTAGAGTCACAGAATTCCAGATCGAGGCCCAGGCTAAGTGGTGGGATTATGATTAACAAACCAGCCACCCAAGAGCTGATGATAAGCCTGTTGCAGACTCTGTTATTCATGATGGTCACATAATGCAAGGGTTTGCAGATGGCCACATAGCGGTCAAAGGACATAGCGGCTAGAAGAAAAAATTCTGTTATCCCAAAAAGATAAGTAAAGAATATTTGAACAGCACAAGCTTCATAGGTAATGATTCTGTCACCAGTTGATAGGTTGTACAAAAATCTGGGAATACAAGCAGTTGTGAATGAGATTTCTAGGAAAGAGAAATTTTGTAGAAAAAAGTACACGGCGGTTCTGAGATGGCAATCTATGACGGTCAGGGAGATAATGGTCAGGTTCCCAGCTACACTCAACATGTAGGTAAACAAAAGAAAGATAAAAATCAGAACTTTCAGCTGTGGGTCATCAGTCAGTCCCAGCAGGAGGAATGTTGTTACTGTGTGGTTTCTCATCATGGATTCCTGCTTTCTGCCCAGTCTGCATGAAAAATTCAAAGACACTTAAATAGAGTGTAATGAAACCAAAATGAGCTTTCAATACTGGCTATAAATGCCAAGCAAACTGACTTGACTCTGTTGAAGTGATCGTCTTGTCTATGTGTAATATTTTTATGGTGGATATGAGCAGTAACTTTATTTTCATTTTCACCTTATCTTCAATCTAATAGTTTCATCTTTGTTACCAACAGCTTTAGCTTAGTATACTACCCACGAGTAATGGAAGCTAGTGCTCAAATACTTTGTAATATTGAGAACTTTTCCAAGGTTATATTTTAAAATCTTTCATCAGTTAATTACAAAGAAATTTATTCGTCTTCAATCTGCAGTAAGTGTCTCCAGGGCTTGGAAACCCCTATGTCAATGAACAATTAAGAGCTTCCACTGCAGACCTGATTATTTTATGTGATTTTACTTTTACGGTCTTTATTTAAAATACACTCTTCCTACTAATGTGGGACCAGGATCAACTTTCACAAAAAATTTACAGTGTCCTCAGTTAAACCTCAGGTTTATCGACACTATCAGAGAGAAGGAAATTGTTTTGGTTTTAATCTTCGCTTGAGGGCTGAAAGCTTCCCCTAAATTAAGGGCTACTCCCAGTACAACCACAGTAGATGAATTTGGTAGGCTGCTAGGAACACTTCTACAGCTATTTTCCTTCCTCTTCTCCTAAAGTCATGGGCATATCGGCACAGTATCGCTGTGATACTGAACTCAGGCTTTCACATTCCAGTCAGATTTCAGTGTTCTAAAACACACATGGTTTCTTTTTCCATCAGTGCAGTTTATCCATGAAACTCAGTTTATCCTAGAAGCTACACATCAGGAATTGAAAATGTAATTGACCCTCGAATGTGATTGATCCACTTCTGTTTATTTAACATACATTTGAATCAGCATTTGTAATGGAGGGAGGGGTGTCAAATAAGAAGATATATCATGACTATTATCACTATATTTTACATGGGAGTATGATCATATTATCTGTGAGTGAGTGAATGTGTATGTCGATGTTCTTTGTTGTTGTTAAGTTATGGTTGAGCAGATAGGAGGAGTTTATTGTCTTGATATGTCTCAAACTCTCCTAAATTAACTTTTGCATAAATATCAACCTGCCATAATTTTTATCTATTCTAGTAAAATAAAATTTAAAGATGATATAATAAATAATATTTGGTCCCATTACAAAATATTAAAATTACTAACAGCTTTTGGTTGATAAGACAGATGCAATGCATTTTTACACAGAAACTTATGACATTTTACAAAGGGAGTACTAAAGAAAAATTCATTGTACTTACTTTTTTTTCAGTCAATCATAACTTCAGGTTGTTGTTTAGCAACATTAGTTCATAAGACTAAAATTTATTTTTGCATATCTGTTCTCTATTGTTCATTATTTCACTGTATGTTTATGTGTGGTTTGGAAATGCATAGATCTTTCTGATAGCAACAAAAATAATGAAAAATTTTATCACAAAGGATTCTATTCACTATAAAACCAAAGAGTATTTCCTCATGCTGCCTTTACCTGGAAATATAAAGCTGTTCTAAGAGTTGAGAATTAGCAATAACTCTCTCTGTTTTTAAAGATCATGATATTCTGATTTCCCTGAGCAAAGGTTTGCACATTAATAAGGTTGGTGTTTATTTAGCATTAAATCCTTTGTGTCATAATCTTGGCAAAAAGCCAAATTCATGCAGCTCTGAGGAGAAGAATATTCTCAGAGGAAAGAAGATGAAACAGCTTTGAGATTAGAAAATAGGCAACAAGAATGAGATAATGCAGTATTCTACATAATTATGATTTAAGTTTATATCATCCAAATCACGTTGAAGATCAAGAACCCCTGATTTTTTCTTGTATTTACCTATTACTTCATTAATAAAATCATTTCCAAAATTAATCAGGTAATATATATATGATGTAATGCAGTAATAATGTTACCACTTTGGTAAATATCCTTTCAGATTATAAATCAACAAACTTGTTTAAATGTTATATGCATCAATTAAAAATAGGCGAATCATAATAGCTGGTATAATTGGCTGAATAATTTGTAAAGATGACTATAAATCAAAAACGTATTGGAATAAAGATCATTTGTGGGTCCCAACAGGATGAATGTTGTTATTGTGTGGTTTCTCATTATGTATCCTTGTTTCCTTCCCCATTTGCATGAAAAATTCAGACACTTGAATGAGCTTTCGACACTGGCTACAAATGCCAAGCAAATGAACATGACTATCTTTTTTTAAATATATTTTATTGATTTTTTTTTTACAGAGAAGAAGGGAGAGGGATAGAGAGTTAGAAACATCAATGAGAGAGAACATCAATCAGTTGCCTCCTGCACACCCCCTACTGGGGATGTGCCCGCAACCAAGGTACATGTCCTTGACCAGAATCGAACCTGGGACTCTTCAGTCCACAGGCTGATGCTCTATCCACTGAGCCAAACCGGCTAGGGCGACATGACTATCTTGAAGTGATCATGTTGTCAATGTGACATAGAGACTAAAAATACGATACAAAAGATCAATGAAATCAAGAGCTGGTCCTTTGAAAAGATAAACAAGGTTGATGAACCATTAAGAAACAAAGAGAGAGGACCCAAATAAATAAAATCTGAAATGAAAGAGGTAAAGTAACAATTGACTTCACAGAAATACAAAGGATTGTAAGAAAATACTATAAAAAATATATGCCAACAAATTGGGCAACCTGGGTGAAATGGATAAATTCCTTCAAACATATAATATTCCAAAATTCAATTCAGAAAACCTGAATAGACCAGTAACAACTACTAAAATTGAAGCAGTAATAATATTTAAAAAAAAGCTAGTGAAAGCCTGGACTGCCAGGCTTTAAGAGGTAAGTTTTACCAAACATTCAAAGAAGAATTAAAATCTATCCACCTCAGATTGACAAAAATATTCAAAGAAATAAAAAAAATGAGTGAAACTGTACAAATTTGATGATAATAAAAAATTTGATAATCATCAAGAAGGAGAAACACAAAAGAATCACACCAAGGATAATAACAATAAAATTCCTAAGAACAAGTGATTTAAAAAACCCTCAAAAAGCAGCTACTGGGACAGACATAAGAATCATCACAGATTCTTCACCAGAATAAATGCAAGCCGGAAAACAGGGAAAAATTATCTTTAAAGATGAGATTCCCTGAAAGGGAAACATGCTCTAAGTTAATCCAGTTCTGAGTTAGATGGGAGAATACTCTGGCACAGGATTATCCAATCTAGGGAATAGTAATGATAATACCTAACGTCCAACCACTGTCACCAACTGCTAACACTGATAATATACTTCATTGATTTAGGGGTCACTTCCTTTGAAAAATTCTCTTGAGCCACTTGTGTGGGTTAAGTGCCTCTCTTTTGTGCCATCTTGAAGCACTGGTTATTACTATCTTAGCATTCAGCTAAGCAGTATGAAGTACTTTGTTGAGATTTGGGACTATGATTTATTCAAATTATATCATACTATTAGCAGAATTCCAGACTTACAATCAAATTCTCAAAAAAAATTTTACCCTATAATATGTGATTTGATTGTTTAACCTACTGACTTCAAATACACTTCTAGGTTTCTCAATCAATGCAGTTGTCACTCCCTTTTAATATATCTTTAACAAAAGTTGTCCATGTCCTTGACTGCACATGGCAGCTATTGATATAGTTTTGCTTTGGGGGAGGAGTTATCACTAAACCTTTAGCAACTATATTGATGCTGAGAGCTCCTTCTAATGACCAAAGAGATAGCTCCCTTCCTCTTTCTAATTTTATATTTTTCTCTTTTTGAAGATGCCACATATCTTCTCAAAATACCTCATTGAGATATTATAGCAGAAGCCAAGGATTTGCAATCCTGTTTTCATTATTAGCTGTTTCCTATTTGAGGCTAACATATAACTTATCATGCACCCTTGAATGCTCAAATGTTTTGTATCTGTAGTTGGTATCTCAAGGGTTGTAATTTTCCTGATTTTTTATGGAAAACCATCTAGTGGAGGCTCTATAAATAGTTTCACTTAGTTTCATTTATCCTACTACAGTGAAGGCTCCAATCAGCCCACCTTGGTGTTCAGCTTCCACTGTTCAACCTCGACTGTTTAAAACACCATTTCACGGAAATGGAACTAAGTTAATTCCCTAGAGACAGTATTTTAAAACCACAGGGAAACCAACCACAGTAGCTCATACTGATTATAGAAATGAAATGTATCTGAAGCCTGGTAACCTCATCTCTTCTTAACTCACTTTCTTCTATGTGCACACTGTTTGCAGAACAGTGATACTTGTTGCACAGATATTTTATGTTTGAGTCATTTCTATTCTACATATGTATGTGCGTTATCTTGCCTAGATATACAGAACACAATTTTGACAAACTAATTGATAGTGAAGTGTAAGGGTTTGATGTCTATCTTGCAGGGATGATTTCTGTTAAATTTACAAGTTAGTAGGGGATAAAACTATTGGAACATTAACAAATATGTCATTTTATTGAGGAAAGTGTATTTCTATGTGTACACACACACACACATATATACACACATATCTATAATATATGTATTTCTTTCTCTCTCTCTCTCTCTCTCTCTCTATATATATATATATATATATATATTTCAGGTATGAATAACATGTTGACAAGACTGTTTCTGGTTACATTGAGATATCTTTAATTTAAAAAATGCATAATCAGGCATCTATTAATTTTAATATATATTTCATACTTAAAAATTACTTGCCTTGCCCTGGCCGGAATGGCTCAGTAGTTAGAGGATCCATCTGGGCACTTTATGGTGGTGGGTTTGCTTCGTGGTCAAGGGCACAGAATTGGTGTAAAGGTTCATTCCCTGACCCTGGTCGGGGCACATGTGGAAGGCCACCAGTTGATGTGTCCCTCACACACTGATGTCTCTCTCTCTCTCCCTCTCCTTCTCTCCTTCCCTTCCTTCTATTTTCTCTGATAAACAGTGGGAACAAACAACAAAAGTCCTCAGGTGAGGATTAAAAAAAAAGAAAAATAATAAAAAATTACTTGACTTGATTTACTAAGGAATTTTTTTAACAAAATATCACATCACCTTAGTTTTCAAAAGCAAACATCATTGTATGTAGATGATAAATGGGGAAGAGAAAATATTCTCCTGAAAATCATAACCTCAGATGGTCACTTAATCCCCAAATTCGTCAGAGCGACAAAAGCTGACCAGACATTTTTTCTGAACCCTTCTCACACTCAAAGGCAGCATTTCTCAGAGTGTTCCAGCTTTAAAATATTTTGCAGATTTTTATCAACATAATTTTGATCTTGGTTTAAATGAAAGCAATATTTTCTTGTACCCCCTTTAAGTAAAATGCTAAACAAATAAGCAAACAAACAATCTAATTACAAAATGGGCAGAGGACCTGACAGACATTTCTTCTAAGAAGACATATAGACTGGGAGACTAGAGGACAGGAGAGACAAAATGGTGGCGGAATAGACAGGCGTGTCCTGAGCCTTGTCCTGAAGCAGATAGAATGAGCAACTGAAACAAATAACATCCACCCCGAATTGGTGAAGGAGACTCAGCTGGTGAGACAATTTGCAGTCGGGAAGGGCAGAGGACCCCTGGAGAAAGGTAAAATCAAGGATCTGGGCAGGAGTGATCTGCCAGATCTCTGTGCCCAGAGGGTCAGAGGGAAACCGCATGGCACTGAATCTGATTGTGGAAAGGAGTCTACAGGCCTGCTGTTGGCAGGGGAATCTAGATCTGGGTCCACAGTCAAGAAAGACTGAGCCCAGAGGGGGCAGCCTGAAGGGCTGACCAGACCACGCAGTGCCAGCAGAAGAGCTTGCAGGGGTGCAGTCTTTCCCCTCTCTTTGGCCTGTGCTTTTCTTCACTGAACCAAGTTCATAGGACTTTTCAGATATGGACACTCACCCATGGCTGAGGTGCAGGAGAAAGTGCCGACTTGTGGAGTCTGGGGAGAGTCAGGGGAGAGGAGAGGGTCCAGAAGAAGTGGCAGTGAGTCTGGCGCTGAGTCATACCTGAGCCCAGGATCTGGGCAGCCATTTTCTCCTAAAGAGATAGCTCCTCCCTTAAGTCTCCAGGCAACCAATACAGCTACATCCAGAATACACCCTGAATGGCACAAAGGATTAAAAATTAAAAAAAATTAAAAAGAAATCTGAATAGTGCCTGAGAGTCCACAGGGACTGGCCTAAAAAGAGGCTTTCAGTCCTAGCAACAGGAAACTGAGAAACTGCAGACAATACAGTAGACTGGGATCTTAAGCCAGCCAAAGGAATTACACTTCACTTTTCCATTTTTATTTCATTTTATTATTACTTTGTTATCTCTTTTTTCCTTTTTATTTTCCTTTTTTTGTTTGTTGCTTTATTTTCTATTTCTTTTCGCATTATTTTTCCATCACTCTATTTTATTTGCTATTTTTATACCATTTTTAAAATCAATTTTTTGTAAATTTGTTATTATTATTTTCTTTCCATTCTCTTTCTTCTTATCCACTCATCCCCTTTCTACTTCCTCTATGCTGAACTGAGGTCCTCCCCATATTCATCGAATTCCTTAACCTTACTTTCTGCATATAAGATTCTGCCCCCACCCTCTTTACTGGGTATTTGGTGTTTGTATATTTTGGTTTATCTGTTTGTTCTCTGTTGTTTTCTCTCCATATATATTTTCCCTTTTTATTCCTTTTTCTTCTTTTTCTTTTCTCTTATACCATTTGTTCTCAATTCTATATCATTTGTACTCTCTTTTCTCTCCCCTAATTCTCTTTTCTCTGGTGGTCACTTATATTGGGGTTATCAGTATCATGAGTACATTCGTGTTTTGTTCCCTTGATGTCGTGTCTTGTCCATGTGAATTTTATCCTGTTTGGTCAATGTGGTAGAGCAAGCAAGCCACATAACCAGACACCCGGAGAGGAGACTCCATCCACGAATGAGACAATAACACTCAAGACACAGGTGTTTTCCTCCATATATATATATTCTCCTTTTTCTTCCTTTTTCTTTTCTCTCTTATCTTTTCACTCTCTTCGATATCACTTATGCTCTCTTTTCTCACCCCTAATTCTCTTTTCTCAGGTGGTCACTTATAGTGGGGTTATTATTGTTGTGAGTACATTCGTGTTTTGTTCCCTTTGTGTTGTGTCTTGTCGAGGTTAATTTTATCCTGTCTGGCCAATGTGCTAGAGCGAGACATATAACCAGACACCTGGAGAGGAAACTCCATCTACAAATGGGTCAGTAACACCCCAGACCCAACAACAGAGGCAGGAAGAAGGCGGCAGTGAGGGAGAGAGCGTGAGTGAGTGAGGGAGCAAACGAGGAGTGTGTGGTCATGTGGTGTGTGCGTGCAGCCCTCACCCTGCAACTGCCCGAGGAGCAGCAGCTGTGTGAGCAATCTGCTCCCATCCGAGGGGCAGCAGCCACATGAACAGCCCACACCCATTAGAGGAGCAGCAGATCGCCCACATCCAAGGAGTGGCAACCCTGCACAGCATGCACTGGTCCAAGGAGCAGCAGCCACACGCAGCCCGCACCTGTCTGACGAGCAGCAGACGGGTGAGCAG